ATGCAACAATGCCTCAGATGAGATGTAAACTCAATAGAGCTTACAAATACTCGACATTAGCTCTTTTCATAGCCTTGTTCCAGCTAAGAGGCTGTACTGGTGACTGCAGATGCATTGATACTTTGTAAACCCAGTGTTAAGATTAAAATTCATGAAAGAGATCTCACTTGCATAAATAAATCAAGGCTGCAAAAAATAAAGTTTAAACATCCATACACTACTACTATCATTTTGCCAAAATGACACACAGCATGACTACAAATTTTGCTGTTATACAGTAATTGAGACTAAAATTTGCCCCTCTGTATTGCTGAAAAAGGTGTAAGTATGTATCCATGAATTTAATAGCACATTAAACATTCATTGGCTTATAGTTTTAGCATTACTGAGCACCCACAAATCCTGCTGGATAGTGAGGTGACATATCTGTCACAGTGAAAATAAGGCTCTTGTCTCACAGCTAGCTGACAGAGATATTAATGCCTGTTCCTGCTGTAATAGAGAAGCCAGGCCAGGCCATATGGGGAAGATGCCACAAGTCAGTTGCTATGATTTATGCTTATATATAGCATTAATGACACAAATCATCATACTGAACTTGGTGGTCCTACAGCATGCATGGGGATTTAAGGATTAACACTCAACCTGTCTGGAACAGTTTTGTCATACAGTGCTATCTGACCAACACTGAAATTTGCAGGGGGAAACTACTGATTTCCTCAACATTTTTACTGAAAAATGTGCCTGATGTCTATGGTTGGCTTTCTGCTGTGGGGGGGAGGAAAGACAGAGCAAAGAAACAAAGAAATATGGTAACTAGTACTATTACATTCCCCTCAGAATGACAAGATTTTGTGCTCTTCTGTAGTCAGTTCTGACATCCTATATTGCATTCAGTAGCTCCTCTCATAGGTCTTGGGAGTAAATATGTGTTTGCAGAGGATTAGGACCCACTTAGTCTTCTACACAAAGACAAGTGATGGCATGTACAGCTTTATGAAGAATTCACTACAAACAGCTCTTGATGGTTGCTAACCAGCTTTTTTGCGTCATGAACAGAATCAAAAATATTATTAGACTGCAGATCCTTATTTAAGACATACAGACCAGGAATAACTAGATGAAACAGCTAACAGACATACAACGATGACCAGTCTAGTTTATGAAGAGTCATGAAGAAATTCACTTTTAAGGCTTAGCTTTCCTAGTCTCATCATGGTGACAAATCCACTTTGCAGCTTATCATCATTAATATCAGGTTAGTAAGTACTGATAGTAAATAGCCACACAGGAAAAAAAAAATGCTCTAAAATTTTTATTAGCCTCCAAAATCAAACAAACAAAAAAAAAGGTTTTCCCTTTCCATATGAGTAAGTATTCATAAGCATGTTCTTAGAATCATAGAATAGTTAGGGTTGGAAAGGACCTCCTTATATCCAATCACACTAAACCATATCACCCAAGGCCTCTTCCAACCCGGCCTTGAACACTGCCAGGGATGGAGCATTCACAACCTCCCTGGGCAACCCATTCCAGTGCCTCACCACCCTAACAGTAAAGAATTTCCTCCTTATATCCAATCTAAACTTCCCCGGTGTAAGTTTTAACCCGTTACCCCTTGTCCTAGCACTACAGTCCCTAATGAAGAGTCCAACTCCAGCATCCCTATAGGCCCCCTTCAGATACAGGAAGGCTGCTATGAGGTCTCCATGCAGCCTTCTCTTCTCCAGGCTGAACAGACCCAACTTTCTCAGCCTGTCTTCATACGGGAGGTGTTCCAGTCCCCTGATCATCCTTGTGGCCCTTCTCTGGAATTGTTCCAACAGTTCCATGTCCTTTTTATGTTGAGGACACCAGAACTGCACACAATACTCCAAGTGAGGCCTCACAAGAGCAGAGTAGAGGGGCAGGATCACCTCCTTCAACCTGCTGGTCATGCTCCTTTTGATGCAGCCCAGGATATGGTTGGCTTTCTGGGCTGCAAGCACACACTGCCAGCTCATGTTCATTTTCTCATCAACCAACACCCCCAAGTCCTTCTGCGCAGGGCTGCTCTGAATCTCTTCTCTGCCCAACCTGTAGCTGTGCCTGGCATTGCTCCGAACCAGGTGAATGACCTTGCACTTGGCATGATTAAACTTCATGAGGTTGGCATCTGCCCACCTCACAAGCGTGTCAAGGTCCCTCTGGATGGCATCCCTTCCCTCCAGTGTATCAACTGAACCACACAGCTTGGTGTCATCGGCAAATTTGCTGAGGGCGCACTCAATCCCACTCTCCAAGACCGGTCCCAACGCTGATCTTTGAGGGACACCACTCGTTACTGGTCTCCAGCTGAACATTGAGCCATTCACCACAACTCTTTGCGAGCAGCCATCCAGCCAGTTCTTTATCCACCGAGTGGTCCATCCATCAAATTTATGTCTCTCCAATTTAGAGACAAGGATGTTGTGTGGGACAGTGCTGAATGCTTTGCAGAAGTCCATCAACTGCTCTACCCCTGTCTATCAGTTTCATAGCCCCATCATAAAAGGCCACCAAATTGGTCAGGCAGGATTTCCCCTTAGTGAAGCCATGCTGGCTGTCACCAAGCACCTTGCTGTTTTTCATGTGCCTTAGCATGCCTTCCAGCAGAACCTGCTCCTAGATTTTGGCAGGCACAGGAGTGAGACTGACTGGTCTGTAATTCCCCGGGTCATCCATTTTCCCCTTCTTGAACATGGGGGTTATATTTCCCTTTTTCCGGTCATCGGGAACTTCACCTGACTGCCATGATTTTTCAAATATGATGGCCAGTGGCTTCCCAACATCATTCACCAGCTCCTTCAGGACCCGCAGATGGATTTCATCAGGTCCCATGGACTTGTGCACGTTCAGATTTTTAAGATGGTTTCGAACCAGATCCTCTTCTACAGTGGGCTCAATGTCTTCATTCCCACAGTCCCTGCGCCTGCCTTCCAAGACTTGGGTGGTTTGGTCAGAGCCTTTGCCAGTGAAGACCGAGGCAAAGAAGTCATTCAGAACCTCAGCCTTCTCCAAATCCTGTGCAGCCAGCTCTCCCAACAGCTTCCGGAGGAGGCCTACGTTCTCCCTAGTCTGTTTTTTATTTGCTATGTACCTGTAGAATCCCTTCCTGTTATCTTTCATATCCCTAGCCAAGCTTAATTCTATCTGGGCCTTAACTTTAATAACCCGGTCCCTAGCTTTCTGGACAACACCTCTGTATTCTTCTGAGGCTGCCTGTCCTTGCTTCCATCTTTTATGAGCCTCTTTTTTCCCTCCAAATTTCCTCAGCAGCTCCTTATCCATCCAAGGAGGTCTCCTGGCCCTCCTGCTGCACTCTTTTCTAGTTGGGATGCAACAGTCCTGAGCTTGTAGCAGGTGATCCTTGAATATCAACCAACAGCCTTGGGCCCCCCTGCCCTCTAGGGCTATATATCTGTCGTGGCTTAAACCCAGTCAGGTAACTCGTTCACTCACTTCCCCCCCCCTTCCTGCCCTCCCCCTACTCCCAGAGGGACAGAGGGGAGAGTCAAAAAGAATGCAACTCCCACGGGCTGAGACAAGAACAGTTTAGTAACTAAGGTATAACACAAATCACTACTGCTACCACCAATGACAATAATGATAAAGGAAATAACAAGGGAAGAGAATACAACATCTCACCATCAGCCAACCGATAACTCACCCCCCCCCCAAGCCCGACCAAGCACCGACCCATACCTCCTCCAACCCTGCAGACTCCCAGCCATTCCGGGTAACTCTCAGTTACATCCTGGGCATGACGTGCTGTGGTATGGAATACCTCTTTGGTCAGTTTGGGTCAGGTGTCCTGTCTCTGCTTCCTCCTGGCTTCCCCTCCTACCTGGCAGAGCATGAGGCTCACAAAGTCCTTGGCCAAACCAAAACATCGCTATCAGCTCTGTCCCCAGGCCAAAAGTCAAAACACTGCACTGCACCAGCCACCAAGAAGGAGAAACATGACTGCTACTGCTGAACCCAGGACAATATCCCATGGAACCTTACTAAGCAGGTTGCTGAAGAGGCCAAAGTCTGTTCTCTTGAAGTCCAGGGCAGTGAGCTTGCTGCACGCTCTTCTCACTGTCCTGAGGATCTCAAATTCGAGCATCTCGTGATCACTGCATCCATGGCTGCCCTGGAGCGTCACATTTCCAGCCAGCTCCTCCCTGTTGGTGAGCACAAGGTCAAGCATGGCACCTCTCCTTGTCGGCTCCTCTATTCCTTGCAGAAGGAAGTTGTCTTCTACACAGTCGAGGAACCTCCTGGATTGCTTGTGCTGTGCCCTACCGTCCCTCCAACAGATATCAGGGTGGTTGAAGTCACCCATAAGGACAAGGACCTGTGAGCGTGAGGCTTTTCCTATCTGCCTATAGAATGCTTCATCTGCAGGTTCTCCTTGATCAGGCAGTCTGTAACAGATCCCGACAGTAATGTCTCCCATCACTGTTCTCCCTTTAACCCTGACCCACAAACTCTCTGTTAACTACTCAGCTGTCCCCAGACAGACCCATACTCTCCAGCCTATAAATAGCATCTCCCCCTCCCCGTCTGCCGGGCCTGTCTTTTCTAAAGAGCCTGTAACTTTCCATTCCAACACTCCAGTCATAAGAGCCATCCCACCATGTTTCTGTGATGCCTATTATATCATACCCCCGCAGACATGCACACATCTCTAATTCCTCTTGCTTGTTCCCCATGCTACAGGCATCTGTATAGACACATATGAGCTGAGCTCCAAATGAAGTCGGCTCATTGGCTGGAGCAGCTGGGATATCTCTACATTGCTCCAAGCATTTATTATAGGTTCTGGCAACTGACTGGGTGTGTTGGAATGGAATGATGCTCCCCTCCCCCAACACATCTAGTTTAAAGCCTCCTTGACCAGTCTGGCAAGCCTCCTACCAAAACTGCTCTTTCCCTTTAGAGCAGCTCCACCAGCCCCCACTAGACCTGGCCTACATGTCTGTTACTCATGCAGGGTATGATTCCACTAACTTGTTCAGATGGTAACCTCATATGACCCAGCAGGCCCTCACCTCCCAGAATGAATGCCTGGCTGTATTTTTTTTTCCTCCTGTATGCCAGCTGTTTTCTAATTCTGTCTCCAGTAGACCTGCCTTGTTCAAAGAAAAAAAAAAAAAACCTGACTGTGTAAGCTGCAAGCCTCTTCCTTGCATATCTGATTAACAAAGTGCTGGGAGAGGACTGGTTTTTGGTGGGGGTGGGAGTGAGGTGGTAGGGATTTCTGGTTTAGGGTTTTGCTTCTGCTTTTCTAATAAGGACCTATCTGCACTAATTTGTAGAAAAAAAATCTGTTGAAACTTCAAAATTACAATAAGGTTAGGGGACAGGAAGAATAACTTTATTGCACAATTCAAACTCACCTTGCAAGGACTTCTTGTTGTAGGCAGTCAGCTGTATACATGCTTTTCTATCAGGAGAACCATTCTATAGTGAAAGCACTCGCTCTGTTGTAGGTTTGTGAAATAACTGAAAGTTTTTGAGATTTTTCTTCTATGCAAACGTGCTGTATTGCTTCTGTAAACTGGTCGATTTTAAGTAATTTTTATTTTCTGAGAGGAAAAAACAGGATTTTTTTTTTCTTTTTTAAACTGAAAATTAACATGTCAATGGGACAGAGTGTTCACCCTTGGACAGATGGAAATTTGACAGAAAGTGGTGAAATTATAATTCCAGGTATATGTGAAATTGTACTTTTAGTAGCTGTCTAATGCCTGACAGCATTTCTTGATTCCTGTAGTCTGATCTAATTTTTTGACCATTGGCCTGTTACTGCACAGGAAAGGTGTGAATTTTTCAGGCAAATCACTATGACTGTGCTTCAGATCTAAACCCAATAGAGAAAAGCCCTAGAAAGAATGTTATGTGCCACCTAGAACTTATCAGTGCTCTCCATCAAGAGAAAAGAAGGATCCATTCAAAGGTTCTAAGTATGTTTGTGTCTATTACTTGAGCTAAGGGTTTGTTACCATCCCCTTTTGTTCACACACATCAGAACAGTTGCAAAAGTCTTTACTTGGTTGTTGCAATAGAAAGAGGAACCAGATTTTTCCCTGATGCTGTATAAATTTATTACTGCATAGTCAGTTAATAGCTGCATAGCTATTTGCACATCAGTAATGATACCAGTTAGCTGCAACTGAGATTATTAGTTTGCAGAAATACTTCAAATTAAGGCCAAATTTAAATGTGCAACCTAGGAAAGAAAGACTTAAGAAACAACCAAACAACTGGTAACTGAAAGAACTACATCAATTATTACCATCTTAGTTGTACTTACAAAAGCAGAACTCAAAAGTAGTATAGTTATACACGTACAAAATAATTAGCCAAAATATTTGGAATACAGTTCATGACACATAAAAAGTCCTTTCCAACCATCAGCTTTAGAAGCCATTGTAGTACTTTTTTTTAATATACGAAGACTGAAGTGATGATAGGTTTCTATGTATGGTCCCATGAACTGTCTGCCTATGAAGTATATCACAGAATGTAATAAAGGAGTATATTCAAAGCACTGAGAATACAAAGTTACCCTTTTTTTATCTAAGAATCTGATTTTTTTTTTTTTTTTTTAGTATGTGTTTTTCAGAAGAGGATTCCATAGGAAGGGGGGGGGGGGGGGAATAAAAAGTCAAACAACACATCAGCGTTCCCTAAACTAATATTTCTAAGTCTGAAAAGTGAGCATGAATAAAGAGTTGCGATGTGTGCAAGACAGCAGGGCATTTACCTGATACTAATAAACAGCATTGCCAATACACTGATTTGTTGTGCCGAATATAGCCATTGAGAAGCTAATACATTAATGGCGGACTACCAATATAAATCAAAAACTAAAGATATACAGCTTTCAGTCTCCCTTTCCTTCTGTCACTTACTTTGTACTGCATGAATGAGTTATTACCTTCTTCTTTCCCTGAGTTGCTGGATCACTGGGGTAGAGTGAGCAGACACAATTTCACTGAAAGTAATGGAGTGAGATTGTCCAGAATTATTTCCAGTGGGCTGAGTTTGTTGCTTTCCTTCTGTTGTGAGAATATAAGTAAACAACTAAATACCTTTACTGAAAGCTGAGAATCTTCATAGTCATCACCTCTTCCTATTTCCTTGGATTAGTCCGGCATTTTGGGTTTAGCCATGTTCAATTAACTCACCCAGGAATTGGTCCAGTCAGATACAGTTGATTTAAGTGAGATAAACTGGGCATCTGTTTGGAAAAAAAAAATGATTATCCAAAATACACTTTCATCATAAGAAAATGAACTGTGCTATCTCCATATTTAAAAACATATGCCGCTAAATAGATTAACTTCATTTGAAAGCTTAAGAAACAGAAAATAATAATGTTGAAACTGAAACAGAAACAAGTTGATACCAAGTCAAAATTAAGTAAGTAACCAGTACGTTAACATGTTAATGTACTAGAACTTCGTACTAGCACCTTCATCAAACCACTATATAAACTGTACTGAATTAAAGCAATTAAAACTAGCAATAAAACCAACCACTCCAGAAGTGATTGAAATGTGTGGGTTGCTTGCATGTGTTTGTACTGATGGTAATAAAAACAGTGCCATATTTAGTCACTGCTTTGCTTTAGGAAAGAAAGAAAATCAGCTGACAATACTCCCATGTTTTGTTTTAATTACTAAAGGTTTTTTCTTAAAATATAGATCTAAAATTGGAAACATGGTTGATAATTAAGAGGTAACATTCATGGCATTGGAGAATGCAAGGCAATAAATATCTTCTGCGGGTGATTAAACACTGAATTGAAGCTGAAGCAGCTGATAATCTCAGAAGCTCTTTACTGCAAATGAGCACTAATGCTGCAGATATTATTGCTATGATAGTGAAACATGAATCAAGATGGTAACAGTGAAAAAGAAATAATAGTTTATTTTGCTTTTTTTTTCCTAATCTCAACAGCTGTTGAAAATGTTTTTGTACTACTTTTGGTCAGTGAGACATCAGCTAAATAATCTGCAGCTAACAGCAGAACTAAAATTTTGTATCTTCAAATGGGCCTTAATCCAAACTGCAAGGACATGCGCAGTTCAGAAGCACAGGCATACATGGGTGCAGTGATTAGATACTAAGTTTCTAAATGTAGCCCCTCAGTTACTGGTCTCCCTGCAGTTCAGCTTTGGAGGGTAACGAAGTGGAGTAGCTATACGCTCCAAATGAGACCAGCGAGGGAAAGCCATGTTGCACACTTAACTATTTACAGCACCTAAAAATACCTGTTGCCAGATGTAAAAAGATTTTTTTTTTATTTTTCAGGATGGTCAAATAATCATCTTATAAAATATATCCTCATATAATCATGTTTTAATATACCTGTTATAAACTGATAGCACTCAACTGAATCTCACACACTATCCAAAGTACCCATTAGCAAATAATACAGGAAAATTTGCCAATAAAGTGTTGTAAAATATGAACAGTTCTGCTAATTCAAGTAGCACAGATGCAGCATGTGCTAATTTAGAAACTACATGAAGCCAAAAGGCTTCTAGAATCAATCCAATTTGTTCTGAAGTCATGGAAATGTTGGCTTTAGGTGTAATACAGCAATGTACAGTTTACAAAAGAAAATAGGAGCTAACCAATCTATCAGGAGCAGACATACAAAATGGTCCTTAATGCTCCTCATGCAATCCAGATTCAGAAGACCTAAAAGAAAAAAATTGAAAGGATGTAATAATAGACTTACAGTAAACCAAATAAAGTAATTTCAAAATTACTAAAGAGCAACAGTAAATTAAAAATGCCTTTGGGTATACCATCTGTTTATCCCTTCCATATTATACCTTTTCATCACAATTACCTAAAGTGGTGTATTTGTGTTTCTGTAATGTATGGAATTCATTACATAGTTTTGAAATGAAATTATCACACTGTGGCTGGGACATCTGCACCCTGTCATATATCATTCTATTCATTTCTAGTTAATTTAATCCTAATATCTGCTTACATGACAAGACAGATGTTCAGCTATACTGTATCTTCCATAGTTTTCTGCCTTGAAGAAACTTCAAGTCACTGAAAGAACTGACATCTTTCAAACAGACATCTCATGGGTTTCAGAAGTATGTGTGTACAGATGTGTGTGTGTATGTGTGTGTGTGTATGTGTTTATATGCCATATTCTTTTTTTAAGAAATGTGTTTTGCAAAACAAAAATCTTTCACAGCAACGTTTAAATATAAACACTTTTCATTTAATACACGTAAGTTTCTTTTTAAAATGTGCTTTACTAATATTTTGGGGTTTTTTTTTAATAATATTTATAAATACAGGGTATTTCTTTCGAATTAGCTTTTCACTTTCTTGCCTTGAATAGGATGAGTCTTTTTCTGTCATTGCTAATTAGAAGTTGTGGGCCAGTCTATATCACGTGCTAGTGATATAGATAGTAGTAGCCTGGAGGGCATAAAGAAGCACTACAGAGCCTGGGAGAGGTGGTTAGGGGCTCTGGAGCTCAGATTGTCTCTTCATCAATTCTCTAGGGTACAGGGGAGGACCTAAAAAAAGCTAGGAGGATTGGACAGGTTAATAACTGGTTAAAAGGGTGGTGTCATAGTCAGGGGTTTGGGTGTCTTGAACACGGGACCCAAGTCTGTAGGCCAGGTCTACTGGGGGCTGGTAAAGCTGGTTTTGGTAGGAGGCTTGCCAGACTGGTCAAGGAAGATTTAAACTAGATGTGTTGGGGGAGGGGGGCGTCATTCCATCCCAACACACCCAGTCAGTTGCCAGAACCTATAATAAATGCTCGGAGCAATGTAGAGATATCCCAGCCACTCCAGCCAATGAGCCGGCTTCAGTTGGAGCTTGGCTCAGATGCCTCTATACAAACACCCGCAGAATGAGGAACAAACAAGAGGAATTAGAGATGTGTGCACGTCTACAGGGGTGTGATATAATAGGCATCACAGAAACATGGTGGGATGGCTCCTACGACTGGAGCGTTGGAATGGAAAGTTACAGGCTCTTTAGAAAAGACAGGCCCGGCAGACGGGGAGGGGGAGATGCTATTTATAGGCTGAAGAGTATGGGTCTGTCTGGGGACAGCTGAGTAGTTAACAGAGAGTTTGTGGGTCAGGGTTAAAGGGAGAACAGTGATGGGAGACATTACTGTGGGGATCTGTTACAGACCGCCTGATCAAGGAGAACCTGCGGATGAAGCATTCTATAGACAGATAGGAAAAGCCTCACGCTCACAGGTCCTTGTCCTTATGGGTGACTTCAACCACCCTGATATCTGTTGGAGGGATGGTATGGCACAGCACAGGCAATCCAGGAGGTTCCTCGACTGTGTAGAAGACAACTTCCTTCTGCAAGTAATAGAGGAGCCAACAAGGAGAGGTGCCATGCTTGACCTCGTGCTCACCAACAGGGAAGGGCTCGTTGGAAATGTGACGCTCCAGGGCAGCCTTGGATGCAGCGATCACGAGATGCTCGAATTCGAGACCCTCAGGACAGTGAGAAGAGCGTGCAGCAAGCTCACTGCCCTGGACTTCAAGAGAACAGACTTTAGCCTCTTCAGGAACCTGCTTAGTAAGGTTCCATGGGATATATAGCCCTAGAGGGCAAGGGGCCCAAGACTGTTGGATGATATGCAAGGACCACCTGCTACAAGCTCAGGACTGTTGCATCCCAACTAGAAGGAAGTGCAGCAGGAGGGCCAGGAAACCTCCTTGGATGGATTAGTCGCTCCTGAGGAAATTTAGAGGGAAAAATAGAGACTCATAAAAGGCAGAAGTGAGGACAAGCAGCCTCAGAAGAATACAGAGGTGTTGTCCAGAAAGCTAGGGACTGGGTTATTAAAGCTAAGGCCCAGTTAGAATTAAACTTGGCTAGGGATATGAAAGATAACAGGAAGGAATTCTATAGGTACATTGCGAATAAAAAACACGCTAGAGACAATGTAGGCCCCCTCTGGAAGCTGTTGGGAGAGCTGGCTGCACAGGATTTGGAGAAGGCTGAGGTTCTGAATGACTTCTTTGCCTCAGTCTTCACTGACAAAAGCTCTGACCACACCACCCAAGTCTTGGAAGACAGACACAGGGACTGTGAGAATGAAGACCTTGGACCCACTGTAGGAGAGGATCTGGTTCAAAACCATCTTAAAAACCTAAACATATTCAAGTCTGTGGGACCTGATGAAATCCATCTGTGGGTCCTGAAGGAGCTGGTGAATGATGTTGCTGAGACACTGGCCATCATATTCGTAAAATCATGGCAGTCAGGTGAAGTTCCCAACAACTGGGAAAAGAGAAATATAACCCCCTTTTTCAATAAGGGGAAAATGGATGACCCGGGGAATTACAGACCAGTCAGTCTCACCCCTGTGCCTGCCAAAATCTAGGAGCAGATTCTGCTGGAAGGCATGCTAAGGCACATGAAAAAAAACAAGGTGTTTGGTGACAGCCAGCATGGCTTCACTAAGGGGAAATCCTGCCTGACCAAATTGGTCGCCTTCTATGATGGGGCTATGAAACTGATGGACAGGGGTAGAGCAGTTGATGCCATCTACCTGGACTTGTGCAAAGCCTTCGACACTGTCCCACATGACATCTTTGTCTCTAAATTGGAGAAACATCAATTGGATGGATGGACCACTCGGTGGATAAAGAACTGGCTGGATGGCTGCATTCAAAGAGCTGTGGTCAATGGCTCAATGTCCATCTGGAGAGCAGTCATGAGTGGTGTCCCTCAGGGATTGGTGCTGGGACCGGTCTTGTTCAACATCTTCATCGCTGACATGGACAGTGGGATTGAGTGCGCCCTCAGCAAGTTTGCCGATGACACCAAGCTGTGTGGTTCGGTTGATACCCTGGAGGGAAGGAATGCCATCCAGAGGGACCTTGACACGCTTGTGAGGTGGGCATACTAAGCAGTTTCCTGAAGAGGCCAAAGTCTGTTCTCTTGACGTCCAGGGCAGTGAGCTTGCTGCACACATTTCTCACTGTCCTGAGGACCTCAAATTCGAGCATCTCATGATCACTGCATCCAGGGCTGCCCTGGAGCGTCACATTTCCAGCCAGCTCCTCCCTGTTGGTGAGCACGAGGTCAAGCATGGCATCTCTCCTTGTTGGCTCCTCTATTCCTTGCAGAAAGAAGTTGTCTTCTACACAATCGAGGAACCTCCTGGATTGCTTGTGCTGTGCCCTACCGTCCCTCCAACAGATATCAGGGTGGTTGAAGTCACCCATGAGGACAAGGGCCTGCAGGCATGAGGCTGCTCCTGTCTGTGTATAGAGCGCTTCATCCACAGAGTCCTCTTGATCAGGTAGTCTGTAACAGATCCCCACAGTAATGTCTTCCATCACTGTTTTCCCTTTAACCCTGACCCACAAACTCTCTGTTAACTGCTCACCTATCCCCAGACTGAGTTCCATACTCTCCAGCCTATCCCTAACATAAAGGGCATCTCCCCCTCCCCATCTGCCAAGCCTGTCTTTCCTAAAGAGCCTGTAACCTTCCATTCCAACACTCCAGTCGTAGGAGCCACCCCACCATGTTTCTGCAATGCCTATTATATCATACCCCCGTAGACGTGCACACATCTCTAATTCCTCTTGTTTGTTCCCCATACTACAGGCGTTTGTATAGAGGCATCTGAGCCGAGCTCCAAATGAAGCTGGCTCATTGGCTGGAGCAGTCAGAGCAGAGCTCCTAGACAGGGCCCTGGCCCTGAGGCTGGCAGTCACCATCCCACTCACTGCCTGCTCATGCTGCCAGCACCAACTGCCACACTATGCCCTGTTTGCCACCTCTTCACCGGGCCTTGGTCACTCGTGCTCTTTGGGGCAGGTTCTACCCAGTCAGTGCCTTGCCATGCCTCCTGGCACCGCCCCCTGTGAATCACTGCTTGTGTCACTGCTTGTGCTATTTGTATTTTCAAATGGAATGTATACTTCTATAAATCAGTAGGTGCTACCTTTCCTCTTAAGATTACAAGCTTCAAAAACCCCAAATCATTGTTTACTATGTATGTTGGTGGCGTTGTAACATCATTTTCAAAGCTTTATAAAGACAGATTAAAAACTAAACAGCTGATGAGATGTTCCAAACTAAAAATGCAAAGAACACCAGTACCTCTGAACTGCTCATTAATTATTATGAGCCTCTATGCAAATACCACAGCATATGACATTTGATAAGAGTTATCAGCTGTGTCTGTCTATTTCCACATACTCCGAAAAGGAAGTAAGTGTGGTATATGCTGGCAAATATGTGGTGTTCTGAGTCTGCGGCATAAGGTTTTCAGTTTTTCAGCGTTGACCACCACAGGCAAGATGGTAACAATACAGCTTTAATGAAACCACCATTTCTAAAAATCTTCGCAGTCACCAATGACAAGTTCTTAAAAACCCCAGCCTTTTCACCACTGACGTGCAACAGGATGACTATCAGGAATTAAGCCAAATTCCAGCACAGAATGGCTGAGTGTTGATTTGCTGCTTAATACATCTGAGAGGTTTTAGATTTCTAATATGGAATGGATTAACAACATTGGCAGTAGGCCCAACACCCTTGTGAGATATGAAACAGTAGCATAAACCCTGAGACCCCTCTGGGATTGTAATAATCTTTGTTTACTTAAAGACATTTACATAAGGTGTTCTTAAAAAAAAAAAAAACAAAAAAAAAAATACAAAACCCTAAAGCAAAATGAGAATTCCTGTCTGAGCCTGCTCTTTAGGAGCAGCAGAGTTAGGAGCAAAGGAGTTTTTGAAGCTGAAAAAATAAATTAGATACATTTTTGATGTGTGGAGCTCGGCCTAAATGTCTTTCAAATCTATTCCAAAGAAAGTTAAAATATACCCCAAAAAACCCTGAAGTATTTAAGACAAGTCCTAAAGGGTGATTAGTCAAAATAAGGGTCAAATGCATACAGAGGAAGTTTATAGTGTGTCAGTCTGTGCTAATATCAGTATAACAGACAAAGTTTGACCTGCAATATTTAAGAGATTACAGCAGGACAAGGCTGTCATTCAGCCTCCTTAAGCTCTTTGCTGAAGCACTGGATAATCAAATTTTAAAAA